TATTTGGTATATTAACTTTTTTATGCAAATGATGTTTCTGTGGTAAGGATTAGTGTCCGACCGAAGCTTCGGCTTCGGCTTCGGCTTCGGCCACCTTCGGCCAAAAAACCACATTCGGTCGCACATTCGGCTTCGGCCAAAATCAGCCGAAGGATTTTTGCCGAAGCCGGAGGTTATAATTATTGGATATGTCCTATTTATATCTTAACAATATACTAAACGCAATAACACTTTACTATTTATATTGTTATATAATTTTTTTAGTTTAGTCAAGTCAATTTTTTTTAAGTTTTATTAAACCTTCGGCTTCGGCTTCGGCTTCGGCCGAAGGTACAACACGAGCCGAACCTTCGGCTTCGGCTTCGGCTTCGGTCAAAAACTGACATTCGGTCGGACACTAGTAAGGATCAGTTTTGAATTAGCAGTAGCAGTTTTTATAGTTATTTACGATATGAGTGGGATAAGAGCTTTATTAACGTACGCATGCGAAATTTGCCCAACGAGTACGTAGCACGAGTTGGGCAATCGCAAAAGTACGTTAATAAAGCGTTATCACACGTATATTGTACAAATTTTTATCTACGCCTCTAAATAAAAAAATAAACGGTAATTATTTTTGTCTAAGACTTAATTTAGGGTTATTTTGAAATTTTGACATTTTGACTTTTTTATTTGATTGGTTAAAAGCAGAGAAAAACGCGTGCGTTAATGAACTTCTTATCTCACTCAAAATGAGTGGGATAAGAAGTTCTTATCTCACTGGCGTAGATAATAAATATTTAATTTAGTACATTTTCTCATTTTTATACAAATGTTAGCATAACACATAAATGAAGTTTAATATACAGGAAAAGATTCTTTAATGTTCTATTTAATTATGTTAAAACATACAGGGTTTTACATTTATAATAAAAACTTTATTATTGTTTGAAGTAAGCCTAATTTCAAGTAGTTTTTTTAAGGTATTTGTTGAAAAACCTTAAAAAAATTATTTAAACAATGTTTTACCAAGAATTCCAACACCATGTCAGCAAACATATTAACAAAAAAATTAGAGGCTATTTTTGATTAACGTTCATTTAGCAAAATTTTAACGAAAAAAATTAATATCTTGAAAACTATTGACTTTAGGTATAGTCTAAATCAAATTGTATTTGCTATTAAAATTTCAAATCCATATCGTTTTCGTTTCTCCAGAAACACCCTGTATACCATTATATTAAATATAAAAAAATGTAAAATAACTAATTACCAAAAATCGAAAAACAACTGAATAAAAAATATAGATATATCTAAATAGCCGATACATAAAGTCTTTATTCTAATTTATTTATTGGGTAAGTAGGTTATAATTTCTAACTTGCTGACACTGTCTATAATTATTATTTAGTTTATTCATTTTAATACAACTTATAAACTGAACTGTAAAATTATCTTTCATGCTTCCAATGGTAGGTTACCATAGAGAAAAGTCTATAATACCTACTACAGTAGTAGTTCAGTTTATATTATTATGATCAAAATTAGTCAACTTCAAAAAATTAATTTTAGCTCCATCTATGGCGATTTTTTTAAATAAACATGTAAGAATTGTATGTTATAAATAATATATTATATGTAATATCGTCGGTCTTATGACATAAGGCCCTATCTCGATTTTTTCTTTTCAGAAGAGCAACATAATAATTAACATATTGTTGTAATAACGGTTTTTAACGGTTTTTGTAAGATAGGTCCTTATGTCTTGAGAAAAGTCTATAATAAGTCTATAATGCCTACTACAGTAGTAGTTCAGTTTATAAGTTGCAAATGACTGATTGCGTTTCAATTTATAAGTGTACTATACAGAGACCTGCATAAAAAACGGCCATTGCTGTAGCATCGTTATTCCTTATCCGATTTTTAAAATTCAAAAACCAGTTTAAATGGTATGATGTCTTCTATGATTCGACGATTAAAAATATTTTTTTTATTATGATGCTTGTGAGGACTGATAGTCAACTTTTATTTTTTAAATGACAACTATATTTTTTTATTACTTTTAACGGTATATCAATATCATAATTTTAATTATAAAACACGAAGAAAACAAATAAAACTGCGAAAATTTTTACATATCGTAGTAGCATCAGGACACCCACAAAATGCTTCCAATTTAATAAATATGCGTATCCATGGTTACGGCTTTTTTCTCTATGAACGTCAGGCGTTTTTTATTTTAAAACGTAAACACAGTTCATAAAAGAAATGTAAATAACTAAATAACCAAACCGTGTTAGACACATAATTTATTCAAATATGAATAATTTTCAGTTAACTGATATGATTCAGATTTATTTTGAATGTTTTCAAAATTCAAGAGAAAGATGTCGGCTTTGTTTGAACAGAAGCTATAAAATTTATTATGATTATTATACTATATTATGTATTACTTTGGTTTTGTTTCAGTATAAAATTAAAAAAATCTGTTTGTTTTATTGATGCTGCTTGGCATTTTTATTTTTATAAAAGTCATAACCATGGATACGCATATTATTAAATTGGAAGTATTTTGTGGGTGTCCTGATGCTACTGCGATTTGTAAAAATTTTCGCAGTTTTATCTTTTTTCTTCGTGTTTTATAATTAAAATTATGATATTAATATACCGTTATGCTCAGAAAAGCATAAGAAATGCGAAAAAATAATAAAAAAATATAGTTGTCATTTGAAAAATAAAAGTTGACTATCAGTGCTCACTAGCATTATAATAAAAAAAATATTTTTAACCGTCGAATCATAGAAGACATCATAGCATTCAAACTGGTTTTTGAATTTTGAAAATCGGATAAGGAATAACGATGCTACAGCAATGGCCGTTTTTTATGCAGTTCTCTGTATAATATATTATATTATATTATATTATATTATATTATATTATATTATATTATATTATATTATATTATATTATATTATATTATATTATATTATATTATATTATATTATATTATATTATATTATATTATATTATATTATATTATATTATATTATATTATATTATATTATATTATATTATATTATATTATATTATATTATATTATTGTATTATGATCAAAATTAGTCAACTTCAAAAAATTAATTTTAGCTCCATCTATGGCGATTTTTTTAAATAAACATGTAAGAATTGTATGTTATAAATAATATCTATATTATATGTAATATCGTCGGTCTTATGACATAAGGCCCTATCTCGATTTTTTTTTTCAGAAGAGCAACATAATAATTAACATATTGTTGTAATAACGGTTTTTAACGGTTTTTGTAAGATAGGTCCTTATGTCATGAGACCGACGATATATAATGTTTAATATGTAATATATAATACAATATCTTATAAAACTAGATAAAAGAATATATAATTTGTAAAACACGTTAGTATTATTCTCTTTGAAGGCCTAACTTAAAAATGGTGTCTCTCGTAGAAACATAATTTGCATGTAGAAGTTTATATATCAAATACTAGTTAATAATCAGTACTTTAACGTGATTTACTCAAAATTATAAAACAACGTTGCTTCTTCGACTTTTTAACCATTAAAAAATGGTAAAATTTTAAATTAAATTGTTCCCAGCGCCCCCTGTATGTTAAAATCTAAAAAAAAATAAGGTCTTAATTTCAAATCGATACGTTTTTAAATAAAAGTGTTATTACAAAATATCGAAATTTATCTATTTTTAACACAGTGGAGTTACTTAAGGCATGAAAACTACAGAGGTCAATGGATGAAATTTTTTTTTTGGAAAAAAATGTAGCATTTAGATGTAGAAACAAGGTTAAAAAAATATATTCAATTCTGGCATCACTTGCAAACAAATGTCCAAAATTAATTAATATTGTCACCTAAATGTGTAAAACTGCCCATTCTTTCACTTTTTGTCATTTTATTGTCATTTGGTACAAAAAAATTGACTTGTCAGTTTTACACATTGTTACTAGGTATATAATGTATTTTTAATGTTGGTGTATACAACTGAATAATAATAACAGCATTTGTTTTTCCTGAAGTTCGCTAAACGCATTGCGTAATTATTACATTTTTTACTTTTGAAGATGAGTCAGTTGCTTACAAAAGTTTGGATACACTCGGTCTGTATAGTTTTACCGTGAAAATACGCTATAAATAAATTTTGCGTTAATTTAAACTATAAATTGTTTTGCAATATGCAACTACAACAGCATAGTCCTACAATATTATTATTAAAAAAAGGTAATATGTTTCCATGATTTACACAAAGTTTGTACTAAGCCCGATTGGTAACGCATCTTTCAAATATCTACTATAGTAGATATTTGAAAGATGCATAGGAATATCAGAATTTTACCAGTTATCGAAAAAAAAGTTTGTCAAATAAAATATGGTCGAATTTTGATTTTTCTTTGAGATACAAGTATAAGCTTTGTACCGAATGTATACCGAAAGATGAAAAAATACGAGTAGGAAAATCTCCATATAAGGTTACTAATAAATCGTTTTGGTGATGTTTAAGAAAAAAAAATACCGTTAAAAGTAAAAATAATTACAACTAATATAATATAATACAACTATATTTTTGTTAATTTGTTTCAACAAATTTTGTATTTTTAGTAGGTATTTTTATTTAAAAATATTTTTCCTATTTAACGCTTGCGCTTAAAAATTAACCAAACATTTTTTATTCAAGCTTGTACAAATCTAACTCGCTCTTCGAACTCGTGGAATTAGAACAACTGCGCTTAAGTAACAGCGTACCATTATTTCTACATTTCGGAAATAGGATTCTAATAAATTTTCCGTTAAAAGTTTATCTGGGTGTTTCAACTTCTACAACTTCCTCGAATGTAGTAAATTTGCTAAAATGGTCGTACTGTGTATTCCACAGCCTTTTCTGGCTTTGGCTTTTGCCTCTATATCAGAAAATGTGGTTCGCATTGATGGACAATGTCCAATGGACATACCCATCTAATATAAAGTCCAATCAAAAATGGCGTCCGACGACGACTCGGATGCTTCTGTTCTCAGTAATAAAAATAATAAAACTACCGAAATAGTAACTAGCTTTAAGTGCTGCAAGAATAGACAATCAAAAAGTTTAACTTGCATTCAGTGTGGAAGTGTTTACCATCGCGGTTGTGCTAAAAAATCATTGGAAAATCGATTTACCGCTATTGATGATTCAAGAATGGTGTGTTGCTCTAACCTGGATAACAAGGGTGAAGTTAGTGTAGCTGTGTTATACCAACAAAAGGTGGAGGCTCTACTTAACGAGATTGACCTATGGAAGAAGCTGTTTGCCCAGTCTGAGGAGAAAAATTCGATTTTGAAGTTAAATAATGGCCTTTTACTAGAATCTCTAAAAAAAAGTGAGGTTAACTACAAAAATTTACAACAGGTACAGATTCCTAGTGACCAAAATAAGTTAAGCTACAGCGCTGCTGCTCAGCCTGCGATGTCGATGTCCACTAATGATGATACTTCTTCTGGAAAACAGATGTCACCACCACCTGTACAATACTCGGTTCCTACAATAAATTTTGATGATGCTTCCTTGGGAAAACAGATAGCACCACCACCAGTACAAAACATGGCTGACACTGTCAAAAGTGCAATTATAAACAATAACAATCCAAATGATGATAGTTTTAAAACACAAGGGCGCCCACATAGGAAGAAGAATCGCAGTGAAAACGAATTAGCTATGCAAAAAAATGAAGCACAGCGTGTTTACAGTGAGAAACAAAATAAAACCATGTATATATCCAAAAACACCAATGTTCTAGATGGTGCGTTTGCCAATCTCAAAGTTGCTGAACGTTTTACTTGGCTCTTTATTGCAAATCTGCAACGAGATACTGAACCTAATGACATCCTAAATGCACTAAAGGAATTTGACTCCAGTGGGACTTTTGCAGTGGAAAGAACAAAACCCAAAAATCGAGTCAAATACGACTAGTGGCTCATTTATTATAAAAGCTCCGTCGAAACATGAATCAACTCTAAGGAATCCAGATTTCTGGCCGTGTGGTACCTATGTTAATCGATACCATTTCCCTAAATGCACCCAAGTTGAGCAGAAAAAGGGTAAACAGGATTTTCAGACCACCAAGGGAGATCTGCCAACCACTTAAATCCATATTTATTGGAATGTCTACACATTAACGTGCAGTGCTTACGCAATAAAGTAAATTACATTGACAGTCTGTTTCTAAATGCACACTTTTTGTGTTTATCTGAGCACTGGGCAACTGAGCCTGAGTTACTATCTATTAGGTTAAGTAAATTTTATATTTTAAATTACTTTTGTAGGTTAAACAAGGCACATGGCGGTGTTGCCATTTATGCTGTAGATTCTATGGTGGAACACTGCTCTGTTAGAAGTGATATAGGCGGTTTCAGTATCGAAACGCATTGTGAATTAGCTGCCATTGAGGCTGATTGTAGTTTACCGTCCTCCTAATGGAGATTACGGTGTGTTTGTTGATGTCATGCAGAGGGTTTTGGAAAGGGTGACTGGGACGGGAAGATTAGTCATATTTATGGGTGATTTTAACGTTCATTTTCATAACCCTACTGATAACAAGTACCTTGAACTTTTAGATTTACCTCATTCCTTTAATTTTACTGCAACCATTTCTGAAAGCACGAGGTTAAATGCCTGCCTTGATAATATCTTTGTTAATATTTCAGATGAATATTTTGACTCATATGTACAAGATCTGCACTTATCTGACCACGCGGCTGTAATCATCAAATTTGAAATAGTATTTATTCCTAGCACATCCACCTTCAAGGAAATAACACCTGTTACGCTACAGGGACTTTTCTGGTTAAACAACTTTATTCAGCAAGTCGATTGGGATTTTATAAATGATGATCTTGAATTAGATGAAAAATTTAATATTTTCCTTAAATTTCTTACAGATGGTATTGATTTGGCCTTTCCTACAAAAAAATACCTACTAATAAGAGAAAAGAACCCCTTCAATGGTTTAATGAATCGCTCAAAAAAATGAGAAATACTTTAAACCTAATGGAAGAGGTATATAAGGTAACTAATAATGTGGTCCTTAAAAATGATATAAAAAACAAGCGGTCTGAATATAGGGATGCTCTGTATAAAGCAAAGACTGATACTAATGATACATTTATTTTGAAATCTGCAAGGCTTCTTGGCAGATAATAAATAATCACCGACCAATTAAAAAAACTAAAGAGGTGACTAATATTACTGCTAATGAATTTAATAATTTTTTTGCCGATATTGCTGGTAATATTTTAAGTATGTTGCCTCAGCAATCTAAACCTTTAAACTACTCTATAGAGTATACACCGGGTGCAAACAACTGTGCTCCTTTTGAATTTCATGAAATTTCTTATATTAATATGCGTGAGATTATGATGAATCTTAAAAATTTTTCTTGCAAGGATATCTACGGTTTAAACTCCAAAATTATAAAAAACATTGCCCCTTATATTGTATACCCATTTACTAAATTAGTTAACATGGCGATAAGGAGTGGTATCTATCCGATGGCACTAAAAACATCCAGAGTTATACCAATTCACAAAAAGGGCCCTGCAGATGATCTCAATAATTACAGACCAATTAGCATAACACCAGTACTAAGTAAAATTTTTGAAAAGGCCCTGGTTAAACAAATTACCATGCATTTTGAAGAACATCATCTCTTTACGGAGTCTCAATTTGGCTTTAGGCAGGGCAGGTCTACCACTGCAGCGGTTAATGCCCTAGTTGAGGTAGTAGCTAGAGCGTTCAACCAAAAAAACTATGTTGGAACGATATTTTGCGATCTGTCTAAAGCATTCGACTGCGTATCAAGTGATATACTGCTGAGTAAACTCCAGTCCTATGGGTTTTCCGAGGGTGCGCGGTCCTTGCTGCAGTCGTATCTTCAACGGAGGTTACAACTTGTGACTTGTAACAATATAAATTCTGAAGCTAGACTGATTAAGCTGGGAGTGCCTCAGGGATCTGTATTGGGACCAATTTTCTTCTTAATTTATATTAATGACCTGCCATGTAATATTCCTAATACATCGCTATTTCTATTTGCAGATGATACGACTGCAGTGAGGACTGGAGCGGACTTTGATACTCTAAATGAGGACCTGCTTGAGACGCAGTCGAATCTTAATGAGTGGTTTAATTGTAATAGACTAAGTCTAAATTTATCCAAAACAGCCAAATACTTCTTTTCACTAAGGCACCTACCGCTACCAAATGAACCACCATGCGTAAAGTTTTTAGGGCTGACTCTAGACTGTGGTCTTACCTGGTCTGAGCACACTGCCAGTGTGGCTAGCTCAACTTCGTCAGGAGTGTATGTTCTACGTAGTTTACGAGGAAATGTTTCAATCTCTGTTTTGCTCACTGCGTACTACGCTCTAGTCCACTCGCGGATCTCCTACGGACTTCTAGCTTGGGGTCACTCGGCTAATTGCAGTCGCGTGTTCAGAATACAGCGCAGAGCGATTAGGATTGTAAGTAAACTCCCTTACCGTGCTGACTGCAGAGAAGATTTCATAAATCTAAAAGTTCTCACATTACCGAGTTTATACATTTATCAATGTTTAACCTTTGTTAAGGAACACATTGGTGACTATGATACCCGTCTTGAGTTATCTAGAAGAACCCTACGGTATGACAGCAATTTACACATCGATTTTCATAGACTCATAAGAACCAGAAATAGTATTAATTATTGGGGTCCAACCTTCTTTAATAAACTACCGGCTCTGGTTAGAGATTTTCCAATTAATAGGTTTAAGTCTTACCTAAGAATATTTCTGGCGGAGCAGTGCTTCTACAATATAAACGATTATTGTAACTTTAATTTTAATGATGTTATAATAACGTTTATTGAGTGAAATAAATGTAAATTTACATAATAATATAATAAATGTTCAATAAACATAATAATAATCCACGAGATGCGCTAAAGGCGTCTGTGTGTGGACATATAGTACCTACTTTATGAAGTTCAATATGATAATAACAATAATCCATTTGTACATATAAATATATCCAAAATAAATAGATAAATAAACATAATACATAATCATAATACATAATACACCACAAGATATTGAAATAATATCTGTTTGTGGGATAACAATAATTTACATATAACGTCGCCTTCAGGAGAAAATCACGTAACTCCACATTTTCATTAAAATGGTATTTTAGTGGCATCTATTAGATAAAACTGTAACTAATTTATATGCAAGTTACAGAAGTCCTAAAATAAACCGTTAATTTTAAATTTAGAAAAAGAAATATACGTATCTCCAATTGTGGAGGAGCGTCCAGGGAATAATGCCTAACTCCAGTATACAAATCAGTGCCATTGACAAGTATAAGTTATTGCCTAGTTATTTTTTCTGTAAAACCTTTGTTTTCCAAAGTGAAATTTTTTATAAGTAAGTATAAAAGATTGTATAGTGTGTAAAGTTAAGGTACCATGAATAATTTAAGGTTACTTTTATTAACATAAAGTACATATTGGAGATACGTAATTTTCCATTAAACAATTTTTTGGCGGTAATGTGGAGATACACCAATACACCTTTAATATGTTTTTCTTTCCTCCTGTAAAATTTTACAACATGGAGTTAAGCAATTTTCTCCTGAAGGCGACGATAAGTATAATAAACGAAGTAGATTTATAAAAACACTTAGAATTAGAATTGGACGAAAACACGACTAAATAGTTTAAATAACATATATCTAGCAATACAAATTAAATTTAAGGTCTTTTTTGTTTTTATATTGATACATACAAATGGCGAAGAAGAATAATTGGCGCGCATCAAACATTCCAGTTTCTATAAACAGTTGTTCAGTTGGAATTAGAAAAGTTTTATTGTAGAGTATTTTTAGTAACCTTTTTTGGGTTGTCATAAGATAATTTAGGTAATTATTATTTACTCCTCCCCATCCTAATATTCCGTATTGTATATGCGATTGTGCTAATGCATAGTAAATGGTGTTCACTGTTGAGATTGGCAACACATCTTTTAAGAATTTAAAGAGGGGGATTAGAGTTCTTAACTTTTTCACTAGATATTCAATTTGACCATCCCATTTCAGGTTGTGATCAATGTAGATCCCAAGGTATTTAACTTTATTAGTTTTGTCTATTCGAATGGTATTGTTGCTTGTAGTTATATCAATATAATTAAAGGCTGGTAGTGAAGATATGTAGGACGAAAAGGGTAAGAAAAATGTTTTAGAATAGTTAATGGTGAGCTTTTTATAGTTAAACCAAAGTATTAAATTTTAGACTTCTCAAGTTTGTAATACTTGTTTTTTTCATTAATTAAGTTTATTAAATTGGAATTTATCCATTCATTTCTTTTCTTATCAGAAGATTTGATACTTTTATAGGTAATACTTTCATTAGTTTTCTCATTAACTATGTTTAGAAATTCATTTGTAGCGTCGTTAATATTATCATAGTGGTAGAGACTATCCCAATTATACTCAATTAGGTTATTATTCAATTTTTTGTAGTTTATGAATTTAATATAGAGATTATTACTGACTTTTTTTTTTAATGGGACCCTATTAAAGATTATTTGT